AAGAAGATAGCCATGATGAAAGGGCTCCCTGACAAAATCTGATGCCTTCAGTACAGAAACAGAGACACAACCAATCCTCAGTGACCCATTAAAAAAAAACTACAGGAATTAACACCCCAACCTCACTCTTCTCCTACCCTTCCACCTCCTTCTGGGTGTCTCCATTGACAAATGCAATAAGAAACTACAAGGCAAGAAATACATGTCAACCTCCAGAGAACAGATGGAAGCGAGGAAAGAGAGATATCTTACCCAGAGAGCTGGGAGAGAAGGTCTTGTATATCTGTGGTCTGCATAGTATGTTTCATGGACTGGTGCCAGTCTATGAGATGTTTGTGGCTGAACCACTATGAGATAAGCACACAATTGGAGAATAAGCATTCAGAAACCTTGATAGCACAATTTGATGCTGCCACACACTCAAGTATACAACCACATGTTCTGCTCATTAAATAGCAAGTAGGCCGAAGAATTGATGCTTTTGAACTGTGGTGTTGGAGAAGGCTCTTGAGAGTCCCTTGGACTTCAAGGAGATCCAACCAGTCCATCCTAAAGGAGATCAGTCCTGGGTGTTCACTAGAAGGACTGATGCTGAAGCTGAAACTCCAATACTTTGGCCACCTTATGTGAAGAGCTGACTCATTGGAAAAGACCCTGATGCTGGGAGGAATTGGGGGCAGGAGGAGAAGGGGACGACAGAGGATAAGATGGTTGGATGGCATCACTGACTCTATGGACATGAGTTTGAGTAAACTCTAGGAGTTGGTGTTGGACAGGGAGGCCTTGGCGTGCTGTGATTCATGGGGTCACAGAGTCAGACACGACTGAGAGACTGAACTGAACCGAGGGCAACTCAGGAGTTGTTGACTCAGGAGGTGGATTGTATATGGAATAAGCTACATTCTAGTGATGCACCAAAAGGCTCTGGTTAACACATGAGATATTTTAAGGTAAGTTTGTCAACAGTAACCTAAATATTTATTTAAAAATTTTAGGGACTCCCCCAGTGGTCCAGTGGTTAAGAGTCTGCCTTGCAATGCAGGTGATGTGGGTTCAATCCCTGGTTAGAAAAATAAGATTCCATATGCCTCAGGACAACTAAGACCACATGTCACAACTGGAGAGAGTCTGCGCATTACAAAGAAAAATCTAGTGTGCCACAACCAAGATCTGACTCAGCTTAAATAAATAAATTAATTAAATTTTTAAAAATAAAGTAAAAAATTTTAATTTATTTATTTTACAACTTTTTATTCTAGCAACTGTTTGTATACATATATTCATGAAATTTTTCCTTATTAGGTAAATTTTAAAATAATATTTGTATTATTATTTCCACACCTGATATTGACAAAGTAGCTTGTATTTTCTATAGATAACATTGCAAAAAAATATTTTAAAACAACCATTTGAAGGCTCTGGAGATCAATCTAAAACAGTAGAACTGGAAAATTTTTAAAAGAGAATTAAATTGGATAAAATTTGTGTTTATAGCTTTTTTGCCTGAATGTATTTCCTAGTCCACACAGGCAGAAATCAAATAGAACATAAGCAGAAAGTTCCAGTCTTATTGGTCTGAGGAATCAGAGTATGGAGTTTGAAAAAAGAGACACTGAATTTTAAAATGGGTCAATAGGAACAATCTAATATATTTTTCAAAAAGGCTGGTGGGGTGGAGGGAGGGGGAATACCCTGGCAGTCCAATGGCTAGGTCTCTGTGCCTTCATTGCCAAGGGTCCAGTTTTGATCCTTAGTTGGAGAACTATGATCTCACAAGCCAAGCAACATGGCCAAAACAAAAAAGAACAAAACTTCAAAGATAAATAAGACAGTGTCAACAAGACTAACATACTAGCCATCAGATCCCAGAAGAAAGAAAGATAAAGAAGAGGAAGAAAAACTACTTAAAATAATGGCCAAATGTTACCTAAATTTTATGAAAAACAGTTTATAGATCCTAAAAGCTCAGCAAACCCCCAACTGGACACACACAAAGAAAAATACACTTAGGCACATTATAATGAAAAAGCTGAAAAGCAAAGATAAAAAGAAAATCTTAAGAGTATTAAAAAAAAAGAGAGACCAAAAATAAAAAAGAGACATACTACTAAGAAGAGAACAATGACATGGATGATGGTAGACTACTTACTGGAAACAATGGACATAATAAAATCAATTTTACATAAAAAATAAAAGCCACTCAGTCATGTCCAACTCTTTGTAACCCCATGGACTATAGGTATAGTCCATGGATTTCTCCCGGCAAGAATACTGGAGTGGGTAGTCTATCACTTTTCCAGTCAATCTTCCTGTCCCAGGAAGAGAACCAAGGTTTCCTCCATTGCAGGTGGATTCCTTAGCAACTGAGCTATCAGGGGAAGCCCTGAGAAGTTCAATTTTATGTAAGTTCTATCAAAAAAGTGTATACTCATCGAACCACTGCAATAATCCAAGGAAGTGAAATAAAAGGCAAAAATAGTTGAAAAGAAGAAAAAGAAACTAAAACTGTGTCCAGTCACAGACATTATAAATGTTAAGTTGGAAATTCTTAGGAATCTAACAAAACTACAGGAGAACTAATAAGCGATTTCATCAAAAATTATAGGCTAAAAAATCAACTTTCATAAAATCTATAATGTAGCATTTCTACACACAAGCAGCAAAAAATTGAAAATGAAATTTAAAGACAATTCAATTTACAACTGCATCCAAAAACATAAAATATTTAGGAATACAGTTAGCAAAAGCATGCAATACATCTATACTCAAAACTGCAAAATATCCTGAGATAAAAATTAAAGACCCAAATAAATGGAAAAATTAATATTTTTTAAAAGGTTAATTCTCCACAAATTGATCTATAACTTCAAAACAATCTGAGTTATAACTCCTACAAGTATTTTTATGTATACTGATAAGCTAATTCTAAGTGTATATGGAAGATGAAAAGTAATTAGTACAACCAAAACAATCTCCACCACCCCCCCACTCCCCCATTTTTTGTTTGTTTGCTTACTTTTTTGGTCTTACCTTGCAGGATTGAACCTGGTCCCTTGACAGTGAAAGGGCAGAATTCTAACCACTGGACTGCCAGGGAATTCCTCCAGAACAATCTTCAAAAAGAGGACAAAGTTGGAAGTCTTACACCATCTCATTTCAAAACTTACTATAAAGTTACAATAATCAAGATAGTGTGACAATAGCATAAAAATAGACAAATATCAATGGAAGACAGTCCATAAACATACTTACATAATTAATTAATATTCAACATGAGCAACAGAGCAATGAAATGAGAACAAATGGAAAGTCTTTTCTATACGATACTGAAACAACTATATGTGTGAAGGAAAAGTGACCCTTGACTCCTATCTCATCATTCACAAAAATTAATTTGTTACAGATCATAGATCTAGCAATAAACACTAAAACTGCAAACCTAGAAAGATCCATAAGAATATTTTCATGACCTGGGAATTCCCCAGTGGTCCAATGGCTAGGACCCCACACTTACACTGTAGAAGTGGGGATTCAATCACAAAATCCAGGTGGCATGGCCAAATCAATCAATCAATCATGTAAAACTAAATTAAGGTGGTTTACAAAAGTCAGAAAGAAAAATATCAACCTTTGAGTATGTATACTGCAGGGGGTACTTAAAGAGGCAAGAAGGAACTCACTGGAATAACAGAAATGCTCTTTATCTTGATAAGAGTATGATACACAGGTACTGTCATTGTTGTTCAGTCACTCAGTTGTGTCTGAATGTTTATGACCTCAAGGACTGGAGCACATCAGGCCTCCCTGTCCTTCACCATCTCCAGGAGTTCACCCAATTGCATGTTCATTGACTCGTTGATATACACAGGTATATCCATTTGAAAAATCCCATCACATTGTACACTTAAGATTCTATATTCACTGTATGTAATTTTTACCTTAGAAAACTGTTAACACATATTAAACTCTGGTTAGTATGTTTGCTTTTCACGGTGGTATGGTTGAGCAATTCTGAAGCTATTCTAAGTGTATTCTAAGCATAGGCAATTGAATAATTATGTATTACAGATATAGAGAGGAGAAGACTGGAATGTATCCTGTGGGACTTACTTGAACTGGAAGTATCAGCATAAGTTCATGGTTCTATGCACATATATACAGAGAGAAGTTTGTCTATGTACACGTTTGTGTGTGTGCATGTGAGTGTGTGTTAGCACTACCAATAAGAGGGCCTCTAAGCAATGACACACAGGTAACAACAAGCACATCTCAGATACTGGTTTCTAAATACCATTCTTGACTAAAAAGCCAGATCTTCTTGGAGGAAAGGCTGACTCCTGGCTTGGATCAGTAAAAGCACAAAATGATCCTATAATACCTTCTGCTGAAAATTAAGGCACTACATAAATCACATCAAAGGGACAAGGAGTCAACTGGAAGAGTCCCCACTAATCATATCTAGGGCAATTGATAAAATCAACTGATGTTAAATATAGCAGGTCAAAATAACATGATGGCCAAGTAATTCTCACAAAATATGTCTTCACCTTTCAGGGGAGAGAGCTGGTGGACCCCACCTTATTCAACTGATCTATGTCAATATCACTCCATTGTGGCAAATTGACACCATGTGCTTCCAGATGTGATGCACTGGGAAGGACATGTCACCTTAACCTTGCCAAAAATGCATGGCCTGAAATTAATTACACCCAGACTGAGAAGAATTCTACAAAACAACTGACTTGTTCTCTTAAGAAATGTCAAGGGTAAGCAAGACAAGGTAAAAGTGAAAAACGCTTTCAGCTTAAAAGATGCCAAAGAGACTTGACAACTACAGCTACACGTGATGACTGGATTAACATATTAGCAAGACAAACACAAAGAAAAAACAGTAGACATAAGGGATATTATTGAGCCAAGAGATGAAATTTGAATATGAACTATGGGTTAGATAATTGTGCTATGCTCATACTCAGTCATGTCTGCCTCTTTGTGACTCCATGGACTGTAGCCTGCCAAGCTCCACTGGCTATAGGATTTTTCAGGCAAGAATACTGAAGTGGGTGGTCATTTCCTCCTCCAAGGGGACAGTCCCAACCCAGGGTTCAAACCCACTGAGTCATTGGGGAAGCCACAATAGTGCTATAGTAGTGTTAAGTTTGGGTTTCTCTCATGGTTCAGTTGGTAAAGAATCCACCTGCAGTGCAGGAGACACGGGTTCAGTCCCTGCATTGGGAAGATCCCCTGGAGAAGGGCATGGCAACCCACTCCAGTGTTCTTGCCTGGAAAATCCCATGGACTGACGAGCCTGGCAGGCTATAGCCTACAGGGTCACAAAAAGTCCAACATATCTGAAAAGACTGAGCACACATGCTTGCAGTGTTAAGCTCCCTGAATTCAATATTCTTAATTTCAGAAAATTCACAAGAAATGATTTAGTAGAAAAGGGACATGATGTCTTGAACTTTTACTGAAATAATTCAGAAAAAAAAACATTTTGGACACATGAACACATTGATAATATGAGAAGAGAAAATGCTAAAGTAATTGGAACAAAATGAAAACTGATGAAGGAACCCCTTGTAATAGGCTTACAACTTCCCTATAAGTCTAAAATTGCATCAAAATAAAAACGTAAGACAAAAAACTAAAATTATATAATATTTGGAAATATTGATTAAATGACCAACAAAATTGTGTTATATTCTTGGAGAACTTATACATGGCTCTATTAAAAGTTATTTTCAAAAATAAAATTCTTTCTTAAACAGTTAAAATAATGTATCTGAGTATATTATGAAATTTTTTGAGCCCTTATAATAGTTATCTAAATATTAAAAATATAAAGGTGAAATAACTATCCTTGGTATGTATTTATTTGTTTAACCAATTTCTTAGCTTTATCTAGCAAACCATGTCACCAATGTTTTTGTGAAGAATTTTTAAAATATGGAATTGTTATTTTCACTTTTCTTATAAAACTGCCTACAGTACTTTTCATAGTTGAATTTTATAATTAATAAATTTGAAATTCATGACAGCTTCATTGACCTCTTTCTTTCAACCATAGTATTTTTCCTTTTCTTTGTTTTTTTTGGCCCATGGTGTGGCATTCAGGGCCTCAGTTCCCCAACCAGGGATCAAACCTGTGCCCTTTGAATTGGGAGCATGAAGTCTTAACCACTGAACCTCAAAGGAAATCCCTTGATCATAGTATTTTTATTCAAGAAACTACACTCTCTACTGAGCAATCCACAGGCAGTTCTGGACAAAGTCTGCCAAACTGAGTCTATTTTCAAATTTTAACTTTAAAACTGGGATCTGTAAGTATTTTAACCCAAACATTTCACAGGCACTTTTTTTAAAATCTCAGAATATTTTCCTCAACAAATATTTTTACAAGATAAAGTTCTTATTAAAAGATGTTCTTTTTATAATTCTTCTAAATATTTCATGTAATTTAGATCATGGAAATCATAGGTCTTCTCAATTTCAATGCATTCCAAATAGAATAAAAATTTATCAAATTGAAAATAAAATCTTCTCAAAAGATTTTTCCACATGTTGATCTATTTCACAGTTCGAGCATTTCTTAACTAATTTGTTCACTTCTCCCCTTGCTTTTGTAAGGATAAATATTAATATCTCCCTGTTTGCAAACTTTGTAATAATTGCAGTTTACTATAAACTTTAAAAGTTAAAGGCACATTTGTTTCCTTTATTGATTAATTATTTCCAAATAATTTTGAAAAAAATACAATGAAAATTTAGAGGATTTTTTTCTCTGTGGTTGACATTTAAGTTGATTTTCCAAGCAATTCTTCAAAAAGTTCAAACATTTATAAGATTCAATAATGCATGTCAAGGAGAAAGTACACACTGTCTGTCATACTGCAGGTTTTGTTTGCTTTTGTAAGGTCACTTCATCACACATACACACACAAAAATATTGTGATTCAGTTACTCTATGTACAAATTTAAGCACTATCAGCTTCTACTTCAATTACTAAAACATTGAAATTTGGACGCAATTAAGTGTGTGTGCACCAAAATCAATTCCAAGTACATTTCTGCTCCATAGAGAGAATGATTAGAGTGTAGTTTTTATGATGGTGTTCAGTTCAGTCACTTAGTCATGTCCGACTCTTTGCGACCCCATGAACTGCAGCACGCCAAGGCCTCCCTGTTCATCACCAACTCCCGGAGTCCACCCAATCCCATGTCCATCGAGTCCGGTGATGCCATCCAGACATCTCATCCTCTGTCGTCCCCTTCTCCTCCTGCCCCCAATCCCTCCCAGCACCCGGCTCTTTTCCAATGAGTCAACTCTTCTCATGAGGTGGCCAAAGTATTGGAGTTTCACCTTCAACCTCAGTCCTTCCAATGAATACCCAGGACTGATCTTCTTTAGGACGGACTGGTTGGATCTCCTTGAAGTCCAAGGGACCCTTAAGAGTCTTCTCCAACACCACAGTTCAAAAGCAACAATCCTTTGGTGCTCAGCTTTCTTTATAGTCCAACTCTCACATTCATACATGACCACTGGAAAAATCATAGCCTTGACTAGATGGACCTTTGTTAGCAAAGTAATATCTCTGCTTTTTAATATGCTGTCTAGGTTGGTCATAGCTTTTCTTCCAAGGAGCAAGTGTCTTTTAATTTCATGGCTGCAGTCACCATCTGCAGTGATTTTGGAGCCCCCAAAAGTAAAGTCTGCCACTGTTTCCACTCTTTCCCTCTCTATTTGTGATGAAGTGATGGGACCGGACACCATGATCTTAGTTTTCTGAATGTTGAGATTTAAGCCAACTTTTTCACTCTCCTCTTTAACTTTCATCAAAAGGCTCTTCAGCTCCTCTTAGCTTTCTGCCATAAGGGTGATGTCATCTGCATATCTGAGGTTATTGATAATTCTCCCAGCAATCTTGATTCTAGCTTGTGCTTCCTCTAGCCCAGCATTTCTCATGATGTACTCTGCATATAAGTTAAATAAGCAGGGTGACAATATACAGCCTTGACATACTCCTTTTCCTATTTGCAACCAGTCTGTTGTTCCATGTCCAGTTCTAACTGTTGCTTCCTGACCTGCATACAGGTTACTTAAGAGGCAGGTCATGTGGTCTGGTATTCTCATCTCTTTCAGAATTTTCCACAGTTTCTTGTGATCCACACAGTCAAAGGCTTTGGCATAGTCAATAAGGCAGAAATAGATGTTTTTCTGGAACTCTCTTGCTTTTTTGATGATCCAGGGGATGTTGACAATTTGACATGCTCTGCTAAAATTAATACACATAGTATCACAATAGCAACAAAAAATTTTACCTTCAGTGTTGACTGTTTAACTGAATTTATCACAGTATTCACAATGGTGTCAGATGTTTCAGCACTTTGATTTCATGAACTGTCAGATGGAAAAAGAATTGAATCATTAACCAAAATTAACTGATGTCCTCACTGAAGCATTTGATGATCCTGACATAAAACTGGAATTATTTAATTGTTCACCAAATTCTTACTGCTAATGGAACCAACATTTTAACATTGCTTTGTACGTGCACAAGAAATCTTGAAATTGAAAGTGATTGAAATTATTTTAGGAGGACAATAATGTGACCTAAACGAAAAGTCACACTTCAGAGTGATGTGTAAACATACCTTTCCACAGCTGCACATATTTAATTGTTTGCTTAGGGCACAATCTTGTAAAATAACATCGAACACTGAAATAAGCGCTTTGCTTCTTCAGCAGATGTGTCTTGGCTTTTTATACATTTAGCTACATCACTAAAACCCCTGATGTCAACCAACATTTTATGCACATTATATATTCATCATCAGTTTATAAAAGAACACTCAGAACTTTAGTTTTCATTAAACATGCTCTTTCAGGCTTCTGGCTTGGTTTGGGGCTGTTGTTTCTTTTGTTTTTTAGCTTGTTGCTGCTGAGAGTACATATTGCAAAATGTTTAAATAGAGTTGCCACATAACAAATGACAAAACCATTACAGCTAGGGAGTTCATGTTATTTTCCATATGTGTACCTGTCTCAGGACTGTTCAGCCTTTATATGCAGCACATAATTTGCATACACCTAACCTGTAATTTCCTGTGTTTCCCACTGATGGACAATCTCATGGCTTTGCGAACCTCCCCAGTTATGGCACATAGCTGGGCCCAGCTGGCTGGTAGACCAAATGGTCAGCAAAGGCAGCCACTTGTTAAAGAGAAAAAGGAGTTAGCTCAAGTGTGGATGCTCTTCTTTTTAACATGCATTCTATTTCTGAAAAGGAGGGGTTAATTATATTGTATATGGAAACAGTGGAAAAAAGAGGTATGACTTATCATTAGTCCTCCTTCAAATTTGACCAGATGTTTAAGTAAAAACTGCTCACTGCATGTGCATGTTTCACATGACTGGGTAGAAGCTAAAAGCACAAGGCAGAGGGCTACTATTCATTTTCTTTGCTGCTAAAAAGTTTTCCTCATTCATAAAATGGGAATAATAATAGGGCTACTTATGAAGTCACTGTAAGAAGTTAAAGAGTTAATATGTATAAATATGCCATGGTCAAAGGAACCGTTTTATCAGAATTAGGTATTATTATTATAACTATTACTGCTTTCTAAAAAAAAAAAAAAATTGTGATTCCTCATTGTTGAGATTTTTAGAAGCCAAAGTATTTCCAGACCCTTCACTGTCATGTTCTATGACAAATAGTGTTTTATTCGCCAATTCCTTTATGGCTGTATCTCTGCAGATATTACTTCCATTGCTGCAACTGCAGCAATCAGCTCTCATGGACAGCTTTGTTACAATTTCTTGGCTCATAGGAAAAATTAAACTTTTTTAAAAAAGTAAATGTAAGCATTCCACATAACACTTAGTAAGCCATAGTTTCTCCACTTCAGATTCAAATAGCTAGTTTTACAAAGGTACATTCAGAAATTTCCATCTCTCCCCCATTTTATTTAACCATGTTAGTTTCAGTCAGTCCATAGCTCTCTTTCCTTTGAGCTCTTTCTGGTTATCCAAATTATTAGTTTTGAATTACCTGTCATTAAGAATGAATTGGGTTTCCCTGGTGGCTCAATGGTAAAGAATCTGCTTGCCAGTGCAGGAGACACGGGTTCAATCCCTGGTCAGGGAAGATCCCACATGCCTCAAAGTTACTAAGCCCATGCACCACACCTATTGAGCATGTGCTCCTGAAACTGAGAACCACAACTGCTGAAACCTGTGCACCCTTGAGCCCATGCTCAGCAACAAAAGAAGCCACAGCAATGAGAAGCCCATTCACCGCTA